AACTGGCTCCTCCATATGCTCCAGGTTTCGATTGTTTCCCACCTGCCTATCCGTTTATTCCAGATTCCTCTCAAAATACCATGGATGATCCCTTCTCTTTCACAGAACTATCCTTTGCTCTAGATAATCTTCATGATTCCTCTCCCGGCATTGACGGTATCCCTTACTCTTTTATTCGTAAATCCTCCAATTCTTCCAAAATCTTCTTCCCCAGTATCCTCAATGCCATCTTTTATTATGGTCAAATACCTGAATCTTGGAAGACCCAAATTGTCATTCCTGTTCTGAAACCTGGTAGAGATCCCAGAAATTCGTCTTCCTATCGCCCTATTGCGCTCTCCTCAGTACTAGCTAAAATAATGGAAACCTTAATTAAATTCAGACTCGAATGGTTTCTAGAACACAACGAATTGTTAGCCAAAAACCAGTATGGCTTTAGAAAAGGTTTAGGCACTTTAGATAGCCTCAGCATCCTCTCCTCTGAAATTCGCCTTGCATTTTCTCGTAACGAGAATGTAATCGGTGTTTTCTTGGACATCTCTGCAGCCTATGACAATGTACATCTTCCTCTTCTCAGGCAGAAAATGCTACATCTGAGTATTCCAGCGAGGATGGTTCACGTCATCTGCAATATGCTCATGTGTCGTACTATCTCTATTCGTCATCAAGGTTCTTTTCTCCCTCCTCGTCTTGTATGGAAGGGCCTTCCGCAGGGTTCAGTGCTTAGTCCCATTCTTTATAATATTTATACTTTCGACCTAGACCAGTCTGTCAGTTCTTTTTGTAAAGTTCTTCAATATGCTGATGATGTTGCCATATATTTTTCGTCATCCTCCTTCTCTACTGCCACTTCCCGTTTGAATTCCGCTCTGTATTATTTAAACGTTTGGCTATTGGACCACAATCTTTCTCTGTCTGTTTCTAAATGTAGTGCTCTTGTTTTCTCTCGCAAACGTAATATCCCTGATATCAACCTTTCTGTAGCAGGCGAACTAATTCCAATAAAAGATTCCATAAAGTTTTTAGGCCTCATTCTTGATTCTAAATTATCTGGTATTCACCATCTAAACCATGTTATTAAAAAGAGCGAGGGGGGTGTGAACGTTATGCGGGCCTTATCTGGGGTTCGCTGGGGCTCTCACCCCTTTTGCCAAAAACTTTTGTACAATGCCATAGCTCGGAGTCACTTTGATTATGGTTCTTTCCTTCTGGAACCATGTAATAGAGGTGCTCTGTCTAAGCTTCAGCTGATCCAGTCTAAGTGCCTTCGAATCATAACTGGTGCTATGAAATGCTCTCCAGTGAATGCCCTCCAAGTCGAATGCTTGGAACCTCCCCTTCATCTTCGCCGCCAATTCTTAGCTGACAGATACTTCTTTAATGCAGTCCAAATTAATTCCCATCCCCTTCTTCCAATTCTGTCTCAACTTTCTAGTCTGACCACTATCTCATTGTACTGGAGACACAAGTCTATCCCTTTGCTCCTTAATTCCTTTATTAAAATGAAAAATCTATCTGATCCTATCTTTCAATCTTCTTTAAATCCTCTTTTTGAGCTCGACTATAATGCGTTAACCTTCCTACCAAAAATCATCCTTGACTTTGGCATCAATAAACATTCTCCGGCAGCCAACCAAAACTTTCTCCACATCATTGCGGAGGATTGGTCTGATTGGGTTACGCTTTATACAGATGCATCAAAACTTTCTTCAGATGCCTTTGTTGGTTCTGCAGTTTGGATTCCCAAATTTAAAATTATACTAAGTTATAAATGCTCTTCCTACAACTCTATCTTTTCAGGAGAATCTATTGCCTTATTAGAAGCGGTCTCCTATGTGGAATCTCATAAGCTTGATAAGTCCCTTATTTTGTCAGACTCCTTGAGCTGCCTACAAGATCTTTTAAAAAATCCTTTCAAAGCTCGCAATAATTTCCCTATAATTCTTAAAATTAAAGAGGTTCTTCACAGATGCCTATTGTCTGGTATTGAAGTAGTTCTAGCATGGATCCCCAGTCATTCAGGTATAGCAGGCAATGAAACTGCGGACTCCTGCGCCAAAATAGCAGCTCAGACCGGATGCGCTAGCCACAAATTCTGCTTCGCCCGAGATCTGCGCTCCCTAGCCAAACTTTCATTGACTGAGTCCTGGAATAACACATGGCAAAGCAGTAGAATGATCAAGGGTAAATTTTACGGCTCTCTACAACCCTTAATTCCTGCTAGATCCTGGTTCTTCAAACAAAAACATGTTAATAAGTCAGCCACCTCTACTATAATTCGTTTACGATTAGGATTTGTCAGTACCCCAGTTTTTCTTGCCAAAATTCGAGTTCGTGATCACTCTCTATGTGAGTGTGGTCTCGATGAAGGCACTCTGGAACATATTTTCTTTTCTTGTCCTAAATTGGTCGTACCTCTGTATGATCTACTCCCTCAACAAATATCCCGACCCGTTAATTTGGCTTATCTATTAACTCTAGTATATACCCCATTTGTCAGGATCCTTTACCATTTCATTCGTATAAATAAAATAAATTTATAAAGTTTCCTAATACCTTTACTGCTATATTTTTTTCTACTGTCCTTTTTCTTTTTTCTCTACTGTCCCACAGAACCACAAACAGAAACTATTAAAATCACAACAATTCCCTTTTGGTATTCAAAATATTTTCAACCTATTAACTAATAAATCTACCTCCCACCTAGACATTGGCAAAATCATCGACATCCGATGGAGCCACTGAATTAAAGGAAGAAGAAGAAGATGATTTCTTGTCAGAGTTATGATTCATACTGTGAGATAGGCTTTTAACCTATAATTTTTCCTTATTTGCAGATGAATCAGGGTTTCTTTTTTTTAGCTTATATCTAAAGTCTTTACATTATCTAAATTATTTTACTTTCTTATTGGAATGTCCTTGCGTGGCATTCGATTTTTGTCTCTCGCCGGAGTTTGACCCCAAGAAATTAGATTGCTGTGGAGCACCGGATTGGTAGAAAAAGCTGCTTAGCTGCACGCCATTGTCTGGAGCCGGGGAGTGCTAACCCGCCTTTAACACCACGTGGGAACCGGAGTGAGAAGTTTCGGAGTTGGTTTGATTTCATTTCGTTCGGACTGATCCAAGGTCATCGGTATGTGTTTTTGTTATATTTTTCTTGGCGACGTGGCATTGAATACTGCAGGTCCCTAAGGGGTGTTATTTTTATTAGAGAGTAGGTCAATGCTATGTCTACCCTTAGAGTTTATTGTTTTGTCTATTAAGTCTTTATGCGACTTTGTTTAAAAAAACCTATACAGGTCCCCAAAGGGGTTAATTTTAATTAGGGGAGTAGGGCGTTGCTACAACTACCCTTATACTCTTTTCTTTTTGGGTCTTCATGTGACTCTTTAAAATTTATTTAACCTTATATTTTTCTTATTGGAAAGGATTGCATTAATGACAGTACTAATTTGTGTATAAGAATTACCTATTGTAATTAGAGACATAAGACACATTGTACTCTACAGACACTACGGGATAATAAACAGCCATTAGAACTTAACATCTTGTATTCTTTAGCTGTCCTCCCGCCTTGTTTTAAAAAGGTTCGGTGCTGGCTGAGATGTCCGAGGTATTTGTTGTGTTTGTGGTGGGTTCTGTGTTCTTTTAAGGTGGTATCTGGCGCCCGAGACTTTTATTTTGTTATTTTGTTTCTATTTGATGCCACCAATTTATTTTATATTTCTTTTATAACACACCCCACAACATAATTTAAATTTTTTAATTTTTTATTATTACAACATTAACACAGTAGCTGCAGATAAATTTTTAAAAAACATCATTTCTGATAATTTAGCACCCTCTTTCTCAATTTCTCGACTGATAAGTTCCAAGTCCTTATCGTTATCGGTGGGGCAATCACCACCTCTATTTCATGTGATCTATTTCTTCTTTTGATAGGCCACAACTTCCACTTTCTCCTTCACTTCCTGCTGTAACATGTACTTTGGTTGAGGCATTCTTCGTTTTCTCTTGCCTTCTATTTTTTCTTCCAGTATTCTTCTGAAGAAGTTGTCATCTGATATAAAGTGGCCAGTGGATTCCATAACTAAGCTGACAGTCCCTAACAGTTCAGTAGATACGTCATATAATACATTTAAAACAGTTGTTATAATTCATAACTGTTAACATTCCTACATTGAACAGATAGTTTTTTTTTATGTTAGAGGGGCCAGACGAGCAGATGTTTATATATTAGTTTAGCTTATATAATATTTATTCTTTTTTTCAATCCTAAAATCTTGACTACAACCTAGAAATAAAACTTAAATTTCTAAATTTTTTATTTTCTAAAAAAAATATATAAAAACACAACATCAGGTAGTTTAAAGATAGCAATAAATAAATATATTAATTATTAATTATGTCCTCATAGCATTTCACATTCTACTTACAAAACGTCAAATAAATCCAACAAACCTGGAAGGCAGATATATACTATCTGTTCAATAGCAGATAGTATATATTATTTTAGCTTATCTACTGGAGATCATGTTTGCTGATAAGACTACTCATTGCGGTCAGTATCAGATTGAAATAAATGACTTAACTGGTAAATGTAAGAGTAAAACAAAGTCTATAAACCTTCAGAATCACAACAATTCCCCACTTTTTGTCTTAAAACCTTACCTCCCACCCTGACGTTGGCAAAATCATCGATATCCGATGGAGCCATTGAATTAAAAGAAGAATAACCTTCAGAAGCTCTGTAGGCTCAGCAGAGAACTGTCTCTATCTCTTGCAACAGTGAAAGAGTATTCTTTCCGAAGTCTTTACACAGTTGACAAGTTTCTAGTGATTCCTTTGGTGGTGTGTTGTCTGATCTGAATTGACGAGCAGATTCATAATCTTACATTTAACCTGCCATCCATTTGAATTTCTGGACCTTCTCATGATATAATGATATGTTTACCATCAATATTTTCCGGGTTTTCATAAATATTTATTATTTTTTTCAGTCAGTAACAAAGCGGTTAGCACTTGGCACGGAGCTGGTGTACCAGTCCGGTGCGAGGGTCATGGGAGGAGAGATTGCCATCACTTCTGCTGCCGCTAGATATACCATGGACGGTAAGACAACCAAAACATTCTTTATTTCAATACTGATGGATCAGATCTGATAAAGGAGCTTGGAGTGGGACAGTCGAGTCTTTAAAGCATTTCTTTTACTTGACTTATTTACTTACAGATTCGGAAATATCAGCGACGCTCAGCTCGGCCAATTTCCACTTGTGTTACTTCAAGCAGTGCAGTGAACAACTACAGGTAATATTTAAAATAACATGAGATTTTAATTTTTTTTATTCTATGTAAAACTACCTTATAAAATATTGCTATATATCAGATATTGCTGTTGATAGACGGCCGGATGGCGTAGTGGTTTGTGTAACGGACTGCTACACCAATAGTCCCGGGTTCGATTCCCACTCAAGTCAAATATTTGTGTTGTATCTAATGTTTGATTTGGTCTGGGTGTTTCTTTGTAAAATAGGGTCCCGGCAACTTCACTCTGTGAAAAGCAATTACTCCGGTGGAGCCGGCCTCTCCTAGAAAGAAAATCCATCCAAATAAAATATCTAAACTTCACAAATACATTTTGATATTGATTATGACTATTTTGATGTCAAAGCGTGCATTCGTTACGTTCAGCGTAAACGTCCGTGTGGTGACGGATTTAGAATACGGAATGTCACCACCCCTATTCATCCCGTCTGGCAAGCGTGTTATAGTAGGCCAAAACCTCCTTTCTAAGGAGAGGCCTATGTCCAGCAGTGGACTATTATAGGCTGTTGATGTGATGTGATATTAAAGCTGTTGGTTTACCTACAATAAAAATTTAAAAATACATTAATGAATATATGTTAATGATGTTAATTTTGCAGGTGGTCGCAGAGATGGACACTTCATTCCGAGGGATGGAGTCCACAGGCACCATTGGTTATCAAGTCACCATACCCAAAGCAGATCTAGTCTTTAGAGGTCAGTTAAGGCATAATATAGTTATGATTCTGAAACCACCAACTCACCCACATTATCTTGAATTTATTTACATAAGAAGCTCTTTCTGTTTTTATCTTTTAGAAAAATTATACAAGTGGCTTTAATAACTAGTCCCTAAATTAAATTGGAATAAAGATAGGTGATGATGACTGAAGAAATGGAAATTTATAACAACATGTTTCTGCCAAGAAGATTAAAGGCTATGAATTCAGATGGATATCCTAAAATCTTGACTACAACCTAGAAATAAAACTTAAATTTCTAAATTTTTCATTTTTTTATAATTTTTTTTTATAAAAACAACATCAGGTAGTTTAAAGATAGAAATAAATAAATATATCTTAATTATGTGTTCAAAGCATTTCATAGCACAGACCAACAAACCTGGATAGCCGATAGGGACTGGTCCATCAAGGAGTGTTGGTAACCAACATCAATTAAGCTCAAATCAAATTCTGATAGCAGAAGATTGTTTTTCTGTGTCTAATTTTATTCATAAAGTTCCATTGTTATTCAACATACAGTAACAGAACCCGTCATTAGCCATAGATTAATACAAACAAAAACTATTAACCGCGTTCACCTCACCGCTTACTACTAAGTGCGCTAAGTGTTGCGGGTTCGATCCCTACATGGGACATCCACAAATTGTTGTGCTGAGTGTGGGTGTTCCTTGTATCCGTTTCATGTATTTTTGTATAGTTTCCTGCGACACAGGATTTATATTCCTAGTGCGTGAGTTTAGATGTGAATAATTAACTGCAACCAAGGGCAACAACATTGCAAAGAGAAGGAAAACTTAAAACAAAAACTATACTAACTCGTCTGACCAGCGCGTGGTATAGTAGGCCAAGACCTCGTTTCTAAGAAGAGGCATATGTCCAGCAGTGGACTATGAAAGGCTGATGATGGTGATGAATAATTCATTCTGTTCTTTATTTCCAGGCATGGTAGATTCAAATTGGAACATTGGCGCTGTACTAGAAAAGAAACTGCAGCCGCTGCCATTCACATTTGCCCTATCAGGCATGGCCAACCAAGGCAAACAGCAGTTCAAGTTTGGCTGCGGCCTCATCATCGGCTAAGTCACCCTGACACAGGGTGAAGACTGTGTGTGATGTGCTCAAGCTAGTGTGTCTAAAAGTGACTTAAATATGACATCTGCATTGAAAATATGTGAATATTTCTTGAAGACAGAAGAAGACTGCAGAATAAAATAGCTTTATGGGACTTCGTATGAGGTGGTGAAGATACTGACTCCTGTCTGTAACAGTGGAGTTTACCAACTGCCATCAATTCAACAAATCTGGCAGAATCATCTATATCCGATGGAGCCATTGAACTAAAAGAAGAAGAATTCAACAAATCTTCAAAGATGGTAACTTGTATTCCCTTAATGTTCCCTTGCTTTTCCCTTGCAAACTTTTTGCTAGTAATATCTTCATAAACACAGCTTCTTACATTAAGAATTGAAATAAACTGGTACAGAATTGAGCTATATTGTCTTCAATAGTTCGATTAAAGTAAAAATGTTTTTCTTGGTAAAACTTTTCTATACAATTTATTTTTACTGGCAATTCCTAACATACAGTTTATTTAATATATATATATATATATATTTTAAATGAAAAATGCACAGTACAGTGATTGTAAATGTGAAATGTAAGCGGCTTAGGATACAATCATGATTATTTTTAAATTAAATCTCTTAAGGAACAGGAAGTTCATATGTTTTTAAATTCATCTACCTCATATGAAAGGGCCCTTCAAATGTTGAAAGTAAAGAGATTTTATAAGCAAAGTCTTTGTATATCGTCTACGTTTTCTAGCTGTTTGCTTCATTAAGAGTTGTGAAAAAGTAAAAGTTGTGAGAAACAGCCAATTACTGAAATGTATTTTATTGTATTAAGAAATTTTAATTTCTCACTTTCGATATTTTAACATGTAAATATCAAGTTAACTATTTTATTGCGCTCCAAAAATACTGTCCAGGATGAATTTTGATACATACCCATTTTTTATTTAACAAATAATTCCCTAAAGTGAATGGGTGGCAGCACCCATTCAACTGAAGTGGCTCAAGGACGTGAGTGCCCGCCCTCCCCCTTCTAGCATGAGGGTGGGAAGTAAACTCACTCATTCGGATTAGGAATTGAAAGAATTGCTGAACAAACATCGATTTTCTGTAAGGTTGAGTATTGCTCCGGTACAGCCGACGTTCCAACTATAAAACAGCACTTTTTCATAACAATTAAATTGTTGACTTTATTCATTTTAAATAGTCTCTGACCCAATGCTTTCAACATGTATATTTATATAAAGGGTGTATTATTTTATGGAATGTATATATGTGCAAGATAACCTCGACAAAGTTGGATATATCGACTCGCTAGCTTGAATATGTCATAATGTTATATTAATTTAGTCGAAATATTGACTTTGTTGGTGTTAGAATGTCTAGTTTTTGGACTTTTATATATATATATATATATATATATATATACAATGTATGTCTACAAACATTATGCCTTCAAAGTAAATTGAACTCTCACTAGTAGTGATATGACACAATTTAGCCTGTGTGTGTAAACTATAGGTAAATGTTTTTTTTTGTGTGCAAAATGAGGGTATTTATTTAATGGCACTTTTAATGTAGTGGCATCTTATAGCTAATATGATGTATTTATTATAAAAAAAGCTCTAATGCCACTATTATTGTGTGATTTAGGAAGAAAACCACTTGCAACCCTGACTGGTATCGGCTCCCTATCTACCAGCAGATGGTCTCATTGTGGAGTCGGGTTTTTTCCCTAACTGTAATGATTTCACTATGTTGGCATGTATGAAAGTCCAAAATGTAGAACAAAATATGATAGACGATTCCTTAATAAATTAATGATTATCACGATGTATGCACGTGTTGTAATCGCTCAGACAACTGTTGTATTGAATTCATACCTTTTTTTGTATGGTTTACGTATATATATATATACCCATATATGTTTTTATTGATATGTAACACTATGCTGTTTTGCTAAAAGCACCAGAAAAGCATTTATGACACAACTCACTTTAAGGTAATTTAGACAAATTGACTTTTTTGTTCAAAACTAGATGTGCAATGCTCTGATAATACCCATCAAAAAGTATATTTTTAAACTGTATGCCAAAAAGTAGCCTAAATTAACCCTTATAACATCAGCTATCTGCCAGTAAAAGTTTCTGGAAATTAGTTTACCTGTTTCAATGATTAGCCCGAAAAAAGTTTTTTTTTTATATGTGTATATTTATTGCTTATGAAAGCTATGTGTGTGTGGATAATTATGAAACATATGTTTTAAGCTATGTAACATGTCGTACTATTCTACCCGAATATTGTAAAACATAGATATGTATTAAATTTGATTACCTTTTTACCGGACTGCACCAGAATAAGGGCTATGTTTTTTGAGTGTATGTATGTATGTACTCGTATATTTCTTTATCACACTGTGTAGTAAACGGCTTGAGGGGTTTCAGGTTGGGAGGTGACGTTCGAGTCGTTTTAATTGTGAGAATGACACCGGTAATATGGAAGTTGTAAAAATTTTTGTCTTCCATTTGTATATGTATTTTAAATACCTCCATAATAATACATTTTTACACAATCGGTTTTTTCAATCATTAGTTTTTTAAATTTTAATATTGTGTCACTTAGTAATAATAACAATTGCTTAAATAAAGTGTGATAGATATTTTTGGAAAAGGTCAAAAAGGGCTTCGACATGTAAACTAAAATTTGTATAATATATACATAAAATGAAAATATCATCTGTCATTAATGTCAAATTTTTGCTACAAGGCCTAAATCGTATTAATATTGTTCTTAAGAAATATTAGATCATTGATATGTCTATGATAGACTAACAAATCTGCGAAAGCGTCTAACAAATAGTATCCAGCTATTCGCCTTATGCCTCTCAGCTGTCTCATGTGTCAGTTGTGTTGTCACTGACACACCAGAGTACCCCTTTTTTTTTTCGTTCCGAAATCCCCTCGGATACCACCTGTCGGTGGCATGTCGGACTCGAACCGACTAAAACCGCACGCCGTCTCGGGTACTAATAGCCGGGGAACCAGGTATACCCTAGAAAGGAAGTCCCTACACCAGAGTACCCCTAAGTTGACCTATTTATTTTAGTTTTGTAGTGCGTCACTCCATCTAGATAGACATATAAATGATCTAAGATTATTACCACAAAAGCAATTTATTATGTGTATAAATTATAATAAAATGTAATTTTAAAGTTATCTTAAAGTGAGGAAACTTATGCTAGGGCTCCCACCATAACTATTAGTCAACCCATATAGTTTACCATATCCCTTGTATCTATGGGGTACCTGGCATGAGTAGATGTGTCGAATACCCGCTGCCATCGCCAACGGCGTTAGACCGGCCGCACACTTGCGACTGATGTCATCAATGTTAGTCGTATAATTATATATTTTTTCAATCGCAAAGCCACCATAAAGCCAGTTTGATCTGAATGTTTTAATGGCATTTATGTCGTAAGTGCGGCCCATTCTTACTGTACGAGTGTAGATAGAATACGGCGTACTGTACAATGTACATAGCCTGTTGTTAAAATGTTTATTTTTAATAGAGTTATGTTAATAAATCATGGATTTGTTTTATTTATCTGGTAACCCACACTCCCGAACTAGGAATGTATTGTCGCGGGGGACTAAATATATCCCGACTCAAAACAACAATTTGTGGATCACACGGTGTTCTGCCCATGTAGCGATGAACCCACAACACGGCGCAGGAGGAAGCAGCGAGGTGACTGTTTTAAACCACGACGATATTCGTGCAGTGCTTTTTATTTTTCGTCACTGACAATACTTCGGTCAGTATGAAAAGAATGCTATGCTAAATAAGGCTTTCTAATGGCGTTTTTATAGAGCCAGCGTTTTCATTCATACACGATACCCAATATTGTTACGGAAATCTGTGATAGGTCCGTTGGCTTTCCTAAGTTGACGAGTGTGTGTTACATTACATACAAACCTGTCGTAACGGGATTTTTTCCTGTTAGAAAGTCCATATGATAGAGAATTAAGTGTTCCACTTAGTTTTAGGTACATTAAACAGTCCTAGCATGAAATATAATGTCAATTGATATCTTTTACTGCCATCAGAAGACCAGTACTCGTAATAAAAGTTTAGTCAAAATTCAGTTCCGATCAACCTCCGATCTCGCAACTCGCTGTCTGTTGTTACAATATTAAAATAGCGGAATTGAGGAGCAGTTTGTCTATGTACTCGCAAAAGACTCCTCTGGCACTTCACTATCATCAGATGGATCATAATATGAATTGATGCTATCCAGACTCCACAAAAGTGGTCAAACCGGTCACCTGATGGTTACTACAGTGCTATTCTCTGAGGAAACAACCTTGCGTACAGCGCTGCCACAGTGTCGAATTTGACTGCACGGATGGCGCAGTGGTTTAGGTGGTCACCTCGCCTCTTCCTACTGCGCTGAGTGTTGTAGGTTCTATCCCCACATGGATCAATACTTTGTGTGATCCACAAATTGTTGTTCTGAGTCTGGGTGTTCTTTTTGTTCGCATATATGTCTGTAAAGTCTTCCGCGATACAGGATATATTCCTAGTGCGGGAGTCTAGCGCCGTAGCGTCAAATATCAAACGAACTTAGTTTGAAGTTCGACGCTGTGGCAGCGCTGTACCCAAGGCTGTTTCCTTAGAGAATAGCACTGCTCGTAAGAGATCACCGCCGCTCAACTCAAGAGATACAAGTGCATAGCCACCCATTGTGTGTAAGATCCATTGGGGCTTCGGCAACCACACTCAGAAAAAAGTACCTAACACCGGTTGCCTGCGAGTCCGTGGTATCATTCAAGTTGGATAGTCCTGAATGAAGCATGGCTCTCCCACGGTAATTACTACTGTACCTTATCCACTTTTGAAACTAGATGGCGTTGTGTGTTAGACGTTCAAAAATATTAGCATACATCAGCATCCAGCACCAGAATACGTCACACAAGACTCACAAAGATAGTTAAAATATATTGGAACCCG